TCCCTTTTTCTTTATTCAATTCTTAATTTTTTTATTAGTGTTTTGTGGAAGTATGCCATCTATTTTGGATAGAAAAAAGATATCAAAATGTGATCTTTAAATGTTTCTTTAAAGTCTATTTTACTTTCATTCCTTTGACATTGTCTTTGGAGTTCAGAGATCTTAATTTTAGTGAAGAATTTGTTTTTTCTTTAATGTAGTATGAACCGCCAAAGGGACACATAAATATCTCTTGGAAAAGGTGCAGCCAGAGTGGGTGCTCCTTGGAGGCAGGATATTTTTGTTCATTCTTTTGACTGTCCATGGGATGTTCAGTGCTCTTCTCCAATACCACAGCCAAAAGGTGTCAATTCTTTTTCTGTCATCCTTATTAATTGTCCAACTCTCAGATATATAGCAAGTAATCAGAAAAACTGGCCTGAATCAGATATACCTAAGTCCTCAAACTGACATCACTACTCCTCAATATTTTGCAAAGGTCCCTAAGTGCAGATTTTCCCAGTGCAATGCATCTCCATCATTTTTTGACTGCTAATACCAAGGATGCTAATTGTGGGTCCATGCAAGATGAAGCTATTGGCAGTTTCAATCTCCTTTCCATCCATCATGTTGCTGCCTTTTAGTCCAGTGATAATAATCTTCATTTTCCTGACATTGAGATACAATCCATATCAAAGGCTGCACTCCTTGATTTTCTGCACCAAGTGCCTCAAGTTCTCACTTTCATCAAGTAAGATTGTGTCATCTGTATAACGCAGGCTTTTGATGAGTCTCCTTTCAATCATGATGTCACACTCTTCTTCATAGAGTGCAGCTTCTTGGATAATTAACTCAACATATTAGTGGTGGGAATGAGTGTGTTTGAGATGGCTAAGTTGGCACAGGATAGAACTGCAATTAGAGCTCTTGAACATAGGGTCGCTATGAGTTGCAAGTGAGTCGATGGCACATAATAACAAAACAATAACAACATATAGATTGGACAGGTATGGAGAGAGGATACAACCCTGACACACACCCTTCCCAAATCCAAATCATATAGTGTTCCCCTGCTCTGTTTGCACATCAGCCTCCTGATTCAAGTATGGGTTCCACATGAACACAATCAAGTGCTCTGGGATTCCCATTCTTCTCAGTGTCAGTCACAACATGTCATGACCCACAAGTCAAATGCATTTGTATAGTCAATAAAGCACAAAGAGACATTCTTCTGGTATTCCTTACTTTCAGCCAGGACCCATCTGACATCAGCAATGATATCCCTGGTGCTGTGGCCTCTTCTAAATCCTGTTTGAATTTCTGAAAGTTCCTTATCTATGTACTCTTCCAGCTGTTTTTGAATGATCTTCAGCAGTATTTTGTTTTTATGTGATTATCAGTGATATTCTATAATCCCACATTCAGTTGAATCACCTTTCTTGGGGATGGGAACAAATATGGGCCTCTTCTAATCCATTGGCCAGACAGCTGTCCTTCCAATTTCCTGGCATAAACTAGTGAGTACATTCAAGGCTGAATCTGTTAATTGAAAAGTCAGTTGCTATCCCATCGATTCCTGGGGCCTTATGTTTTTTCCAGTGCCTTCAATGCAGCTTCTACTTTCTCCATCATTACCACTGGTTCCTGTTCACATGGTTTTGTTGTTGTTTTTTGCTATTGAGTTGCCTGCTACCCATAGTGACCCTGTGTACAAAAGCTCTGAACCCTGCCCTGTCCTGAGCCTGTCTCATTAATTCTGACACACCAATCCCCATTGTCTCAGTCCCTGTATCAGTCCATCTCCTCTGGGGTCTTCCTCTCCTGCACTGTCCCTCTATACATCCAAGCATGATATCCTTCTCTAAGGACCAGTCTCTCCTGGCTACTTGCCCAAAGTATGTGAGACAGAGCTTCAAAATCCTAGCCTCCAAGGTGAGGCTTGGTTTCACCCTCTCCAAGATAGACCTATTTATTTTCTTGGTAGTCCATGATATGTTCAAGACCCTTCTCCACCACAATTTGAAGAAATTTTCATTCCAAAAAAAGGTGACTCAACAGAGTGTGGAAATTATTGAACATTATCATTAATGTCACACACTAGCAAAATCCTGCTGAAGATCATTCAGAAACGACTGGAACAGTATATTGACAGAGAACTACCAGAAGTACAAGCTGGGTTTAGAAGGGATTGTTTAACTAGAGACATTATTTCCAGTGTAAGATGGATCTAGGCCGAAAGCAAAGAGTACCAGAGGGATATCTGTCTGTGTTTCAAAGACATTTGACTGTGTGGATCACAAAAAATTGTGACTAACCTTGAGGAAAATGAAAATCCCAGAACACCTGATTGTGCTTCTGTGAAACCTATACAGGAAACAATCCTCAGAACAGAGGAGGGAAATGTTACATGGTTCAAAGCCAGGAAAGGAGTGCATCAAGGATGCATCCTATCTCCTTACCTTTTCGAACTATTTACAGAACAGATCATTAGGGAAGCAGGGCATTATGAGAAGGAATGTGGCATCAGAACTGGAGGTAGACTCATCAATAACCTACATTATGTAGATGAAACAGCTTTGATTACTAAAACTGAAGAAAAACTGAAGCACTTGCTACAGAAGGTCAAGGACTGTAGTCTTGAATATGGATTGAAGCTTAACATCAAGAAAAAAAAAGATTCTTAACCACTGGTCCAATTGGCAGCACCTTGATAGATGGAAAAGAGATTGAGGTTGTTAACAATTACAGCTTGCTGGGCTCCACAATCAATACTCTTTTAACATCAGATGTCAGGAAATCAAAAGATGAATTGCATTGGGAAAAATTTGCTCTTAGGGACCTCTCTAAAGTGATGAAAAGCAACGATGTCAGTCTGGAGACTAAGGTGTGCCTTTTCCAGGCCTTGGTCTTTGCAATTACTTGTTTTCATATGGTAATTTCTGAAATTTTTCAATGCCAGTAAAGTCTTTGTGGTACAGTGACTCTGTATTCCCTCCATCTTCTTTTGATGCTTTCTCGGTCATTCAGTATATTACCCATAGCATCTTTCGATATTGTGACACAAGGCTTAAATCTGTTTTTAATTTCTTTCTGCTTGAGAAATGCAGAGCGAATTTCCCCCTTTTATTCTCAATTTCCAGCTCTCTACACATTCCATTATGATACTTTGCTTTGTCCTACTGAGCTTCCCTTTGAAATCATCTGTTCCATTCTCTTACTTGGACATGTTTTCCCTTAGATATGGCTTCTCAAGGCTTCAGTGCAATCTTTAGAGTCTCTTCTGACCTCCATTTTTTTTCCCTTACTCCTCTGTTTTGAAATGACCATTTGCTTTCTTCATGGATGATATCCCTGATATCATCCCACAGCTCATCTGGCCACTATCATTGGTGTTCGATGCCTCAACCCTATTTTTAGGAGGATGATGAAATTCAGATGGAATTGATTAATGGTTATATCTTAGTTCCTGTGGACTGTTTAAAATTTACTTCAGCCTCAATTTAAACTTGCATGTGAATAATTGATGATCTGACCCACAGTGTGCCACTGGCCTAGTTCTGATTGCCACTATTGAGCTTCTACAATGATTTCTTCCACAATGGAGTTATTCTGATTCCTGTGCAGCTCATCAGGTGAAATCCACGTGTTAAGTCATCATTTGTGTCTTTTAGAAAAAGTATTTGTGGTGAATAAATCACTGTAAGTTCTAGATTGGGTCATTTTATTTCTAGCTCCATTTTTATAACCAAACCCATATTTTCCAACTACTGTTAGTTCTATACTGTTTCCTACTTTTGCATTCCAGTCACCAATTATCATTAACGCATCCTGATTGCATATTCGGTCAATTTCAGACTGCAAAATTTTGTAACAATTCTCAATTTCTTCCTCTTTGGCTCTAGATGTAGGAGCATATATTTGAATAATAATCAGGTTAACGGGTATTCCTTGTATGCATATGGATAGTATCCTTATCACTCACAACAGCGTATTTCAGGATAGAACTTGAAATTGACTTATTGACTATGAATGCAACACCATTCTTCCTCTTTTTTTCATTCCCTGCATAGTGTACCATGTGATTATTACCATATGATTCTCCATTAGTCTATGCTCTTTTAAAGAATGTCCTTGACTTACGATTTTTTCTTCTTTCACTGCTTAGCTTAATGCATGACATGAAATTGGTGTACAATGAAAGTTTTGTGAATCCTTGAATTAGTTGTCATTAAACAATGTCATTATGAATAGATAAAGTTAATTTTGGAAAAGTGTTTTAGTTTTTTAAAAGCTAAAGATATTTCTTTTAATTGTAGCAATTAGGTAAAATGGACTGTCTTCACCACCCCCCCACCTTTCCCTCCACCTTCTCCTTGACTGTCTCTCTCTTTATAATGTAGTTACATGTGTTATCCATTCAATCTTGTATAGTAAATTCAGTGAAAACTGCAAAACTGTTGGCATCTTCTGTGGCTTACAACCATCCACATATTCAATTCTACTTTCAAGCCTGAAATACTGGCTACATTTCCTTGGTAGCAATAGAACAGCAAGAAGAGATTATGTTCTACCAGAGTGCAAAAATATCTTATAACTTACATAAATCACTGCCATCTTGGAACGTGTGTGCTAAAAAAGAGGAGGCGGGTGTCATCAATCTTGATTCGTTGGTACAGAATATAGTAGCTGAGTGCTAATTGCTTCCAATATTTAAGTAATGACAGGGAGTGCAGAGGGAATCTTTGGATCTGGATTTTAATGCATGGCATTGGTCATACATGTGCTAATAATTTCTCAAAGTCGTTAACATCCTCATCTGTTTCCTGGCATCTGATAATGAAGTTATTGTTCTGAAGGGATTGCATGAAAGATGGTGATCATTTTCTACACGGCTGAAATGTTCATATGTGACATGCTCCTGAGTCTGGGACTAGCAGGCTTCTATATATTGGGTTTTCTTTTTCCCCCCCAAACTGTGATTCTGCTTAGCTGTTAACTTTGTGTTTCTGCTTTCTTTGCAGCATATGGCGAGGCCCCAATGTGAACTGCACCGACAGTTCGGGTTACACTGCATTACACCACGCAGCCTTAAATGGACATAAGTAAGTGCCGTTTATTTGGACTGGTATCCTCGTGTATTCAGTTACGGATGATGAAGTTAACTACATCTCCCCGCATCAGTCCACTGGGGTTAGAGGAGTTTGAGAGATGCACAGGCGGCATCAGCCCTGGCGAGTTCAGCTTTCTTAGACGGTTGCTGAGAATGTGTGTGTGTGCCTTGGGGGAGAAAATCTTCTGAAATTGCCTAATATCACCCAGGGAGAAGGGAGAAAGTTGCAGGGCATTATGAGGCAGGTGGGAGGAATGGGAGAAAAGCTCCTTCTCCTTCTCTTTTTAGTGTTTCCCTGTGACTGTGCAAACAGGAGCTCTGATAGCATAGACCAAAGCTACCTCAAAGACAACACCTCTGGGTTACTCATATCCACCAGAAGCTCCCTGGAGGAGAAATGCCCACACTCCTCCCATGCCATTTACAGCCTCTAAAAACGCAGTGGAGAATCAGCTGTGGGTTAGTTCTAACTTGACGGCAATACAAGATCCTGCTTTCCTTGCTTTCCGTGAGAATGCTTTCTTTTAGGTGCTGCTGAGTTGACTTGGCTTCATAGAGACTTCAGAGCTTAGTGTTAAGGACTTGCACTGAAATCTCAGAGGCACACAGTTCAGTTCCAACAGTGGGTCTATTGGAGAAGAATGGGAAGTCTCCTTAATGTGATTTAGTGCCTTTGATGAACCACTGGAGGGTCATCATTGAGTTGGTTCTGATAATACATAGCAGTAATAGAGGCATAGTTCACAGAGAGCTGTGCTGCTAACCCAACGTTCACGTGGCTCTGGCAGCTTGAATCCTCTAGGGTGTCCCTGGGAAAAGATGAGCAGTCTCCTTTTGTTATGATTTACAGCCTTGGACACCTGATGGAAGGTTGCTAGGAGTCAGGACCGACTCTAACACAGTAAGGGTTGATAGTATAAGCCATGAGCATGCATGCAAATAATTGAAATCTTTACTGTTTAGCTAAATTGCTTTCCCTTTGGCAGCTTTGATTGTCTTTCTGATTTTATAGTTCTCAACTCAAATTTTTTTCAACTCTAGTTTTTTTAATGTAGTTTATTTTATTTTGTTATTGTTGAGAATATACATAACCAACCCTACACCAATTCAGCAGCTTCTACCTGTTCAATTCAGTGGCGCTAATGACACTCTTTGACCTGTACAACCTGTTTTATCATCCTTTGCTGACTTTTCCACTAACATAATCTCATTGGCTCTTATCTAGTCTTCTAAGTTGCTATTGTCCATTTGATCCTATAGGGATATATTTCTGGAATCTTTGTGCAGTGATTAAGTGCTCAGCTATTAACCAATAGATAGATGATTTGAACTCACCAGCCACACCATGGAAGAAAGATATGACAGTCTGCTTCTGTGAAGATTTACAGCCTTAAAAGACTTCTGGGGGCAATAAGGCTCTGTCCTACAGGGCCACGGTGATTCAGAATTGACGTCCAAAATTGGGTGCTATTTTGGATAATCTTAAAATATATTAAATGAGCATAAGGCTCAAGCTAGAATTCTTTACTAACTAAACTATTTTAATTAGTCTTAATTAGACTTCATGGTATGTTTTTGGTTTACTGTCAACTCTAAAACTTTTTAAATGTGTAACTGTATTTTGAATAATGTATACAGTGTAGTGGATTAAGTTGAATAATAGTCATATTAACAGCTCTCCTTGTATGCAAATGAAGAGTATCCTATCCCTCACAGCATTGCATTTCAGGATAGAACTTGAAATTGTCTTTTTAACTATGAGTACAACACCATTCTTCTTGGTTTTCATTTCTTTCACATTATACCCTGTGATAGTCTGATTCAGAGTGGCCAGAGCCAATCCATGTCATCTCACTAATGCCTGGAATATAGATCTTCATGTGTTCCATTCAATTTTTTACAGCTTCTAGTTTTCTTATATGTACTTGGTAGATTCTATATTCTTTCTCATGCTGGCATCTCAGAAGAAGTTTATAAACAGTGATGGTGATATATGAGGAAGTTCAAACTGCTCTGAAGAAATTCGCTAAAAACAAGACCCCAGGACATTATCGAATACCAACTGATGTATTGCATCATCCTGCCGTGGACCTGTCCAGCAAACAGTGCAAAGAAATCTGGGGATAAATACCCACAACTGATTGGAAGAGACTCATATTTGTTCCCGTCTTCCAAAAAAAAGGTGATCCAACAGAGTGTGGAAATTATTGAACAATATCATGAATAGCACACACAAGCAAAATATTCTGAAGATTATCCAAAACTTACCACAACAGTACATAGAGAGCTAGCAAAAATACAAGTTAGATTTAGGAAAGTCACAGCAATAGGATTATCATTGCCAATGTCAGATGGATCTTGGCTGAGAGCAGAGAGTACAAGAAGAATGTCTATTTGTGTTTTATTTACTGTGCAAAGACATTTGACTATTTGGATCACAATAAATGATGGTTAACTTTGAGAAGAAAGGATCACAGAACACTTGATTGTGCTCACGCAAAACCAATACTTGGACCATGGAACATTTGTCAGAACAGAGGAAGGAAACATTGCATGGTTCAAAAGCAAGAAAAGAGTGAGCCCAGGGTGTATCCTTTCTCTAGATCCTTTTAGTCCATATGTGGAGTAGATAATTTGGGATGCTGGACTTTATGGAGAAAAATGTGGCGTCAGGACTGTAGGAAGTCTTCTCAACGACCTGTGTTGTGCAGATAACACAATCTTGCTTGCAGAAACTAAATAGGGCTTGGAGCATTTGCTGCAGAATGTCAGGGACTGCAGTCTTAATATGGATCGCATTTCCACATCAAGAAAACAAAAATTCTGACCATTGAGCCAATTGGCAACATCCTGGTAGATGGAGAAATTAAGTCCACAATCAACACTCTCAGCACCAGCAGTCAGAAATTCAAAAGAATAGTTGAACAGGGGAAGCATGCTGTCTAGGAGCTCTCCAGAGTGCAAAGGAGCAACAGTGACAGCCTAGAGACTAAGGTGTGCCTGATCCAAGCCATGGTCTTCTCAGTTCCTTCCTGTGCATCTGCGAACTGGACAGTGACTAAGGATGACAGAAGAAGAATTGATGCCTTTGAGTTGTGGTGCTAGAGAAGAGTATTCAACATACCTTGCACGGCCAAGAGAACAAACAGGTCTGTGCTGGAGTGGGTAAAACCAGGTTGGTTCTTGGAGTCAAGGATTCTGAAGTTCTGTCTCACATCCTTTGGACATGTTACTAGGAGGGGTCAGTCCCTGAAGAAAAACATCATGTTTGGAAAGAAGGAGGGTCAACACAGAAGAAGAAGAAGACCCTGAATGAGATTGATTGACACAGTGACTGAGGCAATAGAGGCAAGTATACCAGGAACGGTGATTGGTTGAGGATAAAACCAGTTTCATAGCTATCGTTCATAGCATTGTTATGAGCTGTAGTTGACCCAACAGCACATAACAACACCACCACCACTTTCCACATTCCAATTATTAAAGGGTCTTGGAAGCTTTTTCTCTTCATTTTGATTGACTTTCAATCTTAGTTCTTCCTCTAATATTATACTTCCCAAGTTTCTGTATTGTTCATTGGGTTTACATAGGCCTGCTGTTTCAGAAATGGATGTGGGTTATTTTGATTCTTACTCTTCCTTAGCGTTAGAGCTCCACTGAAACTGTCTACCATGGGTGACCTTTTTGGCATTTGGCACACTGATAGCATTGTTTCCAAAATTAAAGCATCCCACAAGTTAGTCCAGTACAGCAAACTGACAGGCATTTGTTGTACTAAAAAGAGAAATTCACAAACAAGCAAACATGTGCACACCTAAGCTGTAAAGTAGTTAGCAATATGAAATAAGCAATGTGGAATGATCCACAACACATTAAAAGAAGATGGAAGCTTCATTCTGGACTCTTGTCATAACCATAATACCCAATCATATATTGCCTTTAAACTGTTCTCTCCCTCATCTATTTCAATGCAGTATACAGAATTAATCCAAATTTTCTCTGTCTCTTCCCAACCGGGGTCAGGGGGTAGGGGGATTGTATATCAATGAAGGAATTTTTCTTTTACTTTCCAAGGAGAGGAGCGAACTGGGGTGGGTGGGGGGTGGGCAGGTAGAAAAGTGTAACAATGAATGAATGGAAATCCAAAATCTCTGTGAATGTTCATTAAAATTTTTTTAAAAATAAATAATAAAAAAGAAACAAGACTAAATTGATTTTGCCACTCAAGTCTAATAAAACAGAATCACATGCACAGTCATAAGTAAAAAAAAAAAACACAAAACACAAACTTAAGAAATAGTGCAGTAATGTCAAGATGACCTCAACAAAATAATAAACTGGTACAGTATTGAAGGAAAAAAAAGATGGAAGGAATACAAAGAGTTAGAGCATATCAAAATATTGGTCCACACTGAATTATTAGGAAATAACATATTATCAAGAGCCGATAGTAATGAAGAAAGAAGTTCAAACTATACTGATGGCATTGGCAAAATATGAGGCAGAAGATATTAATAGAATAAAAATTGACACATTGCAACTAACAGATACAGACCTAGACATACTCACCAGTCTGTGTTAGAAAATTTGGAGGACAGCTGCCTAGCATAGTGACTGAAAGAGTCCATATTTGTTCCATTCCCAATAAAGGTGATCCAACACAATGTGGGAATTATTGAACAATATCATCATTATCAGCTGTGAAAACTAGGTCAGGTGCTGATGATGGAATAGACATTCAACTACTCACATGTAAATTAAAGCTAGAGAAGATCAAATCAAATCCATAGGAACAAAAATTTGACCTTGCGTTTATCCCATCTAAAATTCAAAACCATCTCAGGAACAAATTTGAGGCTTTACCCACTAATAAACAAAGCCCAGATAAGCTGTGGGAGGATATCAGGAATATCATCCATGAAGAATGAAAAGGTCATCACAAAGACAGAAGAGGAAGAAAAGACAGAGATGAATGTCAGAAGAGACTCTGAA